TTTTTTTTTTTGAGTAATAGACCTAGTAGATTGTTTTCTGGTAATACTCTCCTGCTCTCACCTTCTAAAATTAGTATGTTTATATTTCTGTTCAGACAAATGGAAAACTAGTGTTGCTTCTGGAACTTTACATCTTCAGTATCCTGAGATGTGCTAGCAGGTGAGCTGAGGTCAGTGAGACTGTCATTGTCTCTCTAAAGGAAGGAAGAAATTATACTTGCCTACCTTGTGGTTTCTTTATTTGTAGTAGTCTGCTAACTGCTGTGAGCATAGCAGTTGGGAAAACTAAAGAGAGATAATTGTTGTATATCTTCCCTTCTTTTCATTTATTTTTTGTTCCTAGACTATGATCTCGCAATTTATTACAAGGAAGATTGGCTCTCACAAAGCTGAGTAAGAAAACATATGGGTCTACATGGATTTTATTTGGTATTTTGAGCATGAAAAATGGGGACTATTGGAAATTTCCCAGACACATGGAACCAGTCTCTACATAATATCTATAACTATACAATAAAGTGATCGTATTTTCAATCAGTTTAGAATGTGAGATAAACATTTAGGTATAATGCATCAGGGAGAAAAATGATGACAATAAGCTTTTCTTATCTCCCTTTCTCACAACCCAGAACAGTTGTAACTTGAAATATGGACCTAAACATTTCCTTAGCCTTGTGAGTTCCATGCTTGCTGGGACAGTGATTGCCCTTCTCCAAGCTTTCAGAGATCCAAGATCTATACATATTGATACATTGTGATTTGCTTTAGCATGTGGTAACTCACAGCAAGCCCACCTCAGGTAAACTTTTATGTAGACTCAGTGAACCTTAAGACAAGCAACTACTGATTTATCTACACCTGCATGAAGGGGCACTGCTTCCTCTAAGCAAAGGCTAGAATAGAATTTTCCTGGAGTATCTAGTTGATTGCTTGGAACTATGGAGATCAGGCATGAGACCAACAAAGCACAATGTTCACCTCTAAAGGAAGCAGACATAAGCCAATGTAAAACTAAGCAGTCAGATCTTTTATTGCATAACTAAGGTGCTTTAGTTATGAGTTATTTAGCTATGAGTAGCCAAGTAGCTCATTGTATTTAAGAAATTTATTACAATTCACAGAGAAGCCTATGGGAAGGACTATAGGATATTTCTATTTCTTCATGCGTGATAAGATTGAATATCTGTCAGAAAAAATTTCTATCATTGTTTCCCATCTAATTATCCACTGTTCTTGTAATTATTCATTGTGACTTTTTATATTTGTTAGTTATATGTTAAAAATGCATATATTTTAGAAAAGTACATATTTTCACTATCCTAATCATGTGTGTGTGTATATGTGCGTGTATGTGTGTTCTTAAAATGTAGATTGAGTCAGACTCTGGCGTAGTGCCTGGAGTCTTGAACATAATACATATTTCTAAGTTCTTTCATTTTTATCCTATGACATAACTCAAGGATATTTACAGACTCTTAGCAATTGTGATGACCCTGATATACTCACATATTTTAGTGAATGACACTGTATCAACCAGAGAGGACATTTATTGAAATTTAAATTCCAATTTTCATTTTCTTTCTTTATGACGTTTTCATTTTTAAATGACTTTCTTTTTAGAATGAAAGACTTCTGTTCCTTAAATTTAATGTGTATTGTATTAAAGAGAAGAGAGTAGGATTATTTTTCTTTTAAGTTTTATATTTGAAATTCTAAGATTCTTTATGTATAGGGTATGTAAGGGCCAAATAGAAGAGGTATGGATCTAGATTAATTTGTATATCAAAGCCATGCTCCCTGCTGGGTCTTTTGTCATCTCTCAGAATCTACCAGCGTATTTTTGAAGATAGAGCTGACAGTACTTGCATCTTTATTGATCTAGTGAATGGAGAGTATCAAGGAATCTTCAGTTTCTAGCTGGAAAAAAAAACTGTGTTAGATGATGCACATATTTACTAAAAAAGGGAAACTGAGAGAGTGTATTGGGATGCTCTAGAATGAAGGTTTGTGCCTTTCCCCCTAATTCATATGTGTGTTCTAATCATCAATGTGATGCTATTTGGAGGTGGGACTCTTTGGGAGATAATTAAATTATGAGGTTAATGGGATTAATGCTGTTATAAGGAAAAAATGAGAGAGCTTGCTTCTTCTTTTTCTGCTCTCCTCTATGTGAACCTACAATGAGAAGACAGCTGTCTGCAAACTAGGAAGTACGATCTCAGCAGATGCTGGATTTGCTGATGCCTTGATCATGGGCTTCAGACTCTGCAACTGTGAGAAATTGTTTATTGTTCAAGCACCGTCCTCCCCACCCCCACCACACACCCAAAATAGCCTTGGGAGAAGCAGTCTTTCTTCAGGCAAAAAATTTTTTAAAAATGTTAAACATCGTAATATATATAAAATTAAACATATATACAATAGTGCTTGTTTCTACAGCACATATGCTAAAACTGAAATGATACAGAGAAGATTAGCATGGCTCATGAGCAAGGATAACACACAAATTCTTGAAGCATGCCATTAAAATAACAACAACAAAACAAATGAAACAAAAATGACAATTACACAGTAGATAAATCAGTCTCAATGCCAATGAGGAAGAGATGCATATACCTTTTGTAGGAGGCCCTGAAAAATCATATAGCATTAAATAGGGCCGTATAATCCACATGCAGAGAAGAGGAGCAAATATTTGAGAACAAGAATATAATCTATCACTAGAGATACAGATAATTCACAAAGCATAAATAAGAATGACTAGCAACATGTACATATTTAGCCCCATATTAAAAAATGTAAATGAATAATATAATGAAGGAAAAACAAATTGTTTTAACTTCTCTGATGAAGTTCAATATCAGAACCTTTATTCCCAGCATTACATCTTGATCAGAGGTTAAGAATATAATAAAATAAATTCAAAATTACCACAATTATATTCATCACAGAGTCAGTTGAAGCTCTCGGTCCATTTCGTGAAGAAACACACTTCAATGTATTAAGACACTCATTATATTACCTGTGATTATTTCTGGTTATTTAAATAATAGATGACTTCTTCCTTGAATCAATTTACATTTTTTCTTATTTATACTTATTTATAAGTAATATACTTATAAATTTTTACTTATTTATAAGTAATATATATTGTATATAATTAAAATATTTACTTTTTTAAAAAAATGGAAAAATGCAAGCCCATAATTTTTAGTAGACATTGCCTACACAGGACATAATATTTTGTCTCTGTGTACAAATCTAAAGAAAGACAAGTTAAAAATAGTTATCAAAGCTGGTTACTCTGGATAACCTCTTCTACAGTTCTGTCAAGTAAAACATTTTTAGACATTTCAGACACACACACACTGTGTACCATTCACTAGCTCTCTGTCAGAGCCTTCTGTGTCCTATAATTTTAAACTCTAAAAATACTCAGTGGTGAAATATTGATTTCCTCTCTAGTTTCTGCTCAGACTTTAGTTGGATGCCTGGCAAGGATTCCACTCAGAAAATCAGTGCTTGACTCTGTGTTTTATTCTTTGTTAAGAAACACATTGTATCTTTATACTTTTACCTCAGGTAGCCTATGTCTTTTTCTTGACATTTGTGTTATAGTATATTCAAAGGAGGATCATTGTTTTGTTTTACATCTAAGTAATGATAAATCTCCAAAATGTGTACAGGTTTTCTAAAAAGGCAAACACATAGTAACAATAAGTCAGTCAGTAATTATATATGTTATTTGTAAGTGAATTGCAATGGATTAAGTTTAGGAATGTTTATAAATTTCTAAAATTTCATGTGAATATTAGTTGTACCAAGTAACTAAATTATAATCTCCCTAAAACCAGGAAGATTTATTTACTTTTTTTTTTTTTTTTGCAGTTTACCAATATATTTGAAACTAATTTTTTTCCCTCACAAGTAACAATATTATGCTTCGAGATTTCTTTAAATAGGTTAAGTGTCATTGTAAGGTTTTTTAAAATTTATTTATTTATTGGGTGACATTGGTTAACGAAATACAGTAAGTTTCAGGTGTACAATTTAACAGTAAGGAATATATATATTGCATTGCGTGTCCCCCTCCCATAGTTAGATTTCTTTCTGTCACCACATATTTAACCCTTTTTATCCTAACTCCTTCCTCCCCGCTCCCCTCGCTCCCCTCCCCTCTGGTAATCACTAGTCTATTGTCCATGTCTATGAGTCTCTGCTTGCATGTCCTGTTCGTTTGTTGCTTTTAGGTTTATGTCCCACATATAAGTGATATCATGTGGTTTTCAACATTTTTTATCTGGCTTATTTCATAGCTTTACTCATCTTTTTGATTCATGCATAGTATTTAGTATATAGCTGGTGAGTCATAGAAAAGAAAAAAAGATCTAGTAGTTAAAACAAGCATATGTCCAAATTTAGTATATAATTTATTCATTTATTTTATCAGCAAACATTTGTTTAATTATTATATTATTAATTTATTATTATTATTATTTTTAATGCCGATAGCACCTGGTATTTCAAGGTGGTCTCCCATCCAAGTACTAACCAGGCCCGACCTTGCTTAGTTTCTGAGATCAGATGAGATCGGGCACGTTCAGGGGTGGCATGGCCGTAAACTAATTATTAATTTATTAAATAGTTAAATAGTTTAGTGGAAGACTATAATATTAAGTCAATGCTTTCAAACAGTGGAAAGAAATGATCAATGAATAAGTGGTATTGTGACAATTTAGATAAACCAGACCTAATGCCACTGAGGCAAGGATGCATATGCTTTCTGTAGGAGGCCCCAAAAGTCATATTTTGTTGGGTGACACAATTTGGGATAAAATAAGCTCACAAAATAGTAAAGCTTTAAAAGTTTTTACAGAATAATTATTTTCTAACAAATATGACTACAGATCAAATTATATAAAATAAATCCTCATTTTATTTAGAAACTTTCCAAGATAGCATACAAACAGTTTGCAATAATATGAAAGAGGCAAAAGTATTAGTTTTATGTCATGAAGAAGATTACAACATATCAACTACATGATGTCTGCTTGAGTTAGTGTTTCACTGGTACTCTTTGTCCTCATTGAATTTTCAGCTCTTTGCAATTAAATATTGGCAACCGATAAGTATAAAAATTAACATGTCTGTCCTATTCCTTTTTGCAAATGACACACTGCAGATTCTTCTGGATTAAGATATTTTTCTGATATCTAAATATTGCTTGATTCTACATTTGAAACTGTAAAATTTCCATGGTTTCTCCTTTGATCTGAGGTTTTATGATATATATTAGATATCGAACTGTAATTGACATGTATTAGTTGATTACTAAGTCTTATGGGGATTTAGAGAAAATTAGGGAAACATGATACTTAAATAAATATTTTACTCTTCAAATTTATTGCAAAGGAAATTTAGTTCATGTGACAATGGCAAATTACCTATTTCATAAATTATTAAATTAGAAATTATATTGATTTACTTTTTTGAAGAATATGTTTTCAATTTATATTATTTTTGTGTGTATCTCATTTAAGTAGAACTCAAACATTAATAGATGGGAAATTAGAAGTTTCTAAGGACTTTGTAATTTAATATTCCACACTATAGTGATAAATAAATTTTTAAGTTTCAGTTTAACTTAGCTGAAAAAACATAGAAGTATATGTAAATAATTGAAATTGAATATTAGATGCAAAAAAGGAGAAATATCCCAAACAGTATGACGTTGAATTTTTAATTAGTAACTGATGGGAAATATAGAGAAATAGTACATTATTTGAAGAATAAAATTGAGGAGTGTTAAAAATCTATTTTGTAAATAGTTTTGTCTTTTAAGATTTTTACACAACTTTTTTGAAAAAACAAACTATTATAAAAATCTTCTTTTTAAAAAATATGGTGATATAGAATGTAATTTATATTTATTTTCACAGGAAAATAAAATTGTCCTTGCTCTATTTGTAGATACTTTATACATTTCAATATAAATTATTTAGCAAAATATCTAAGTCTAAATATGAGATATATTGAACATCCTCATAATAATATCTTTTAACATTTACAGATTTTAAATAATAACAATCCAAGAATTGCAATGATTGCTGTGGCTATGGCAGTTAATTTTGCTTCTTTGAGGGGCAGGGTATACTTATTTTCAGAGTTAGAAGTTCCATTTTATAACTATATTGTGAAACAGAATAAAAGAAGACATTTTCATGAATCACTTTTGAATTTATCAAATAACCTTTTCTGCATTTTTGGCGATTTTTTTTCTTTTTTCGCCTATTAATATAGTGAATGACATTGGTTTTCAAATATTAAACGAAACTATTTCTAAAATAACTACTAGGTCTTGTATCATTAATATTTTCTGTTTCAATGTATTCAGTTTATTATACTTTAGGGTAGGAATTTTGCTTCTATAATCATGGAAGAGTTTGACATGTAATTTTCCTTTTTTATAAAGGCCATGTCGTATTTTAGTAATGGGGTGGAGCTAATTTTATAAAACATTTAATTTCTCTTCAGAAAGACATTTTCATGGAAAGATTTTTAATTATAAAATGAATTTAAAACTTATTAGCTAGTTCTGTTCTATTTTTATTCTTGTGTCAGTTTTTAAATTTAAATTTGTTTTCAAGAAATTTGAACATTTTAATCATTTAGAAAGTTTATTGACATGAATTTGTTTGCAATATACTTTTATTACCTTTTTAATGTTTGTGAAATCTGTAGTGTATCCTCTTTCAATTTTAGTTGTTGACAGGTAGTGATTACTCTCCTTTCTTGGTTGGTATTGGTAGGAGTTTTTCGATTACATTAGTCATTAAAAAAACTATTTTTGACTTTGTAGAATTTCCCTATTATATTTTTCTTTTCAATTCCATTGGTATTTATTATTGTTATTTTATTCCTTTTACTTAATCTTATTTCAATTTACTCTTCTTTTTCTAGCTTCTCAAAATGTTGATATCATTGATTTCCAACTTGAGTATAGGTATTTATTGTTGTAAATTTGGTCTAAAGATTGTTTTATCTATGTTCCAAATGTTTTAATGTGCTGTATTTTCATTATTATTAAAGTTCAAATTATTTTCTGATTTCCATTTTGGGTTATTTAGGAGTAAATTATTTCATTTCCAAATATTTGAGGTTTTTAAGGTTATTTTATTATTGATTTCTAATTGTGCTGTTCAAGTCCATATCTTTCTCCTGAGTATTTTTGTGTTTGTTCTGTCAGCTTAAAAGAGGTATGTTAAAATTTCTAAATCAGTATGTAGACGTATCTATTAATACTGTTTCTGTTCATTCTTTGCTTCATTTATTTTTAGCTCATGTGACTATAGAAATTCACAGAACTAATTAAATGCTAATTAATGCTTATTGGATCTTAAGAACATTTGAGATTTTTGTCAAATGTTTCATTTTTTTACATGCTATTCAGAATATTAGTACAATTTTGCATATTACATTTGAAGAGTAACATGTTTGTATAATAACATATTAAGAACTTTTGTATTTTTT